ATATTGTAGCTAATCAATCCAAATATTCCCGCTTATGTTCGTCCTTCCGCAGGGACGGAGTGGGTCGACCCAGAGGACCCCACGGTCATTGCGGAGACGGAGTTGTTGGGAGCGGCCGCCTCCATCGAAGCCGCTGCCAAGAAACTGGAGCAACTCAAACCCAGAGCCAAGCCCAAGGTGAGCTTTGAGAAGGGGCCCTATAGAAAACCCTATAGGGACCCTGTGGTGAGTCTTCCCTAGTAGGCCAAAAAGGAAGCCTGGATAACAGTAGGGCAAACCTCCATTTTGAGGGTGCATGCCAGGGAAGCAGCCATCTTGAGTGAGGATAGCTAGAAGATGGAATTTGAGGTCTCCTGGGATTGGCTAGAGCAGATGGGAGGAGGGAAAAGATTTCAGCTTCTGAAGAGAGGAGAATTGGGAGCTGGTGGGAGAAGAAGCGTTTTCGAAATTTGGTTTTCAGAGAGAGAGCGTCTGTGTCAGGCAGGGCTGATTAGCTGACAGCAAAGGTCAGACAGCTACCTGATTTCGTATAGGAAATTACACAAGGGATTAGCTCTCTAGACTGAGTTAGTTAGCAGTAAGAATTCTGGGAGAGTTAGCTGATAACTCAGGGGACTGCCTAGGATAGGTTAGTCAGAAACTCATTGCTATTTCTCTGAAGTAGAGTGAGGGATTTTTTTTGTAACCAGCAGCTATATCTGTTTGATTAGTTCTGTATGTAACGAAGTGAAGAAACTGTATGTAACGAAGTGTTAGATAACTATACATTTCGTTATATTGGTGCCAAGTGGCGTGATTAATAATAAGATATACCCTCGCATTTCTCTATAATTGGTGCCAGTGGCGAGATTAATATCTCTATAGACCCTGTCCTAAACCTCTCTTCTTTACACCAAAATACTAACAGACATTTTTGTTATTTATTTATCGTGTCATCAGCAACCAGACATTTGTATTACATTTTTAACAAAAATAAACAAACAAACAGACAAAACACAGAATTTGCAAGCTTGGTAGTTGATTAAATGTCCTTTGAGCAGTATCTGGCCAAGTGGAGTGCTTCTGGTGTTGCCGCAAGGAGGTCCTCCATTGTGCATGTGTCAGTGCTCAGGGTGCATTGCAGCAGGTGGTCAGTGGTTGGCTCTTCTCCGCACTCGCATGTCGTGGACTCCACTTTGTGGCCCCATTTCTGAAGGTTGGCTCTGCATCTCGTGGTGCCAGAGCACAGTCCGTTCAGCGCCTTCCAAGTCGCCCCGTCTTCTGTGTGCCCAGGGGGGAGTCCCTCATTTGGTATCAGCCATGGATTGAGGTTCTGGGTTTGAGCCCGCCACTTTTGGACTCTCGCTTGCTGAGGTGTTCCAGCGAGTGTCTCT